TACTGAAGCCCGCATGCCTAGAGTCCGTGCTCCACAACAAGAGAAGCCACTACAATGAGAAGCCCACACACTGCAACAAGGAGTAGCCCTCACTCTCCGCAACTAGAGAAAGCCCGCGCACAGCAACGAAGACCCAATGCAGCTAAAAATAAATAAATAAAATAAATAAATTTATTTTAAAAAAATACTGAAATATAATCAAAACAAAGCAGTGTTGTTAAAAATAATTAAAAAATAAAGAAAAAAGCATTACAGGAGATGAAGAGGGTCAGTGCATAATAATAGATAATTCAATATAGGAGAAGGATATAATAATTTTAAATTTGTATACACCTAATAACATAGGCTCAAACTATCAGCAGCAAAAATTGACAGAACTACAAGGAGAAATTGGCAAATTCTCCATTGGAGGGTAACTTTCAACTAGCCTCTTAATTATTAATATATCAAGCAGATGAAAATCATTAAAGATTTAGATATTGGAACAATATAATTAACAAGCTTGGTCTAACAGAAAATACATAGAACTCTGCATCTAGTAAACAGACAATATACATTCTTATTAAGTATACATGAAACATTTACAAAAATGGCTCATGTAATAGGCCATAAAGCAGAACTCAGTAAGTTTCCAAAAATCAGCATCATTCAGATCACATTCTCTAACCATCATGCAACCAAGCTTGAGGTCAGCAACAAAAGAATAAATTAAAAACCTCATATACACTTAGAGGACTTCCCTGGTGGCGCAGTGGTTGATAGTCCACCTGCCGATGCAGGGCACATGCGTTCATGCCCCGGTCCGGGAAGATCCCACATGCCGCGGAGTGGCTGGGCCCGTGAGCCATGGCCGCTGAGCCTGCGCTCCGCAACGGGAGAGGCCACAACAGTGAGAGGCCCGCGTACAGCAAAACAAAACAAAACAAAACAAAACACGTAGAACCAAATGATAATAAAAAGTATGCATTCTTATAGACCTATCCTGTTAGATTATAATTTATTTTTTTTGCCTGTCTCTCCACTACCCTTTGACTCCTATGTTGGGGACCATGCAGCCCATCTTTGTTCTCCTCCTGCTTGCCATGGTGCCTGGTTGAGTAGGTTCTCAATATTTAGTTAAATATTGAGTATTTAAAAATTTACATATTTAAACTTAAATATTAAATAAATTTAAATACTCAACTAAAATAGCAGCTCTGGAACCCTGCCTCTATCTATTTTACTCCTACCTTCTTGGCCTCATCCCGTGTCATGGAGATTTCACCAGAAATCTGTGCATTACTTGGCTTATTTTCACTGTGTCCCAGCAAGTCGTGGCTTAGACAGCCCTGTATCTCCTCATGCATTTAACAATGAAAAGGAGATGATAGGAGGGTAATGGAGATGGTCTTTTCATCATCCATGTTTGGAAAGGTGAGCTGGTAGCGCCATCCTTGACATGAAGGAGCTGCTTAAACACAAATTGGATTAACAAAACAGGATTAGAGCCTGCTGGAAGGTGTTATATACTTATAAACTGCTCTGTGGAAGCTCCTCTTGTTTTCATTACAAGCCCATACTCCACAAAGTCAGTCAAATGAAATATGGAATTAGTCAATTACTAAAAAAGAAATGAAATATCTAAAATGAAGTGACTAAGTTTTAATAATGCCAAGAAAGTTGAATTAGGCAATAATAGTTCAGTTTAGCAAAACCATAACTAGATCATTTGAAATGACAGTTTTAACATGGTAAGAAATAAACTCACTGAAAATGGTCTCTATTCTATCTCCTCCATCAAGAGGAATAATATTCAAACAAAAATATGATTAAGAGGTGACTTCAAGAAAGGAAAAATAATATGAGCTATGTGAGAAGTTTCAGACTTATCTGGACATTTCAAATGAATTGAAGTCCCTAGGTTTAAATGCATTAAAATCCCAAGACACTGAAAGAATCTGCAAATGTGAACCCAGCACTCCTGTCCGTAATCTTTGAGAAACTACAGAGTATACAAAGGTGACAAAAGATAAAGAGAAGCCAAGGCACTAACTTTCTGAGAAAGGAGGAATAGGTGAGTTATGTATGGAATATGCCAGCAGGTAAACTTGAGGCTGATTCCTGGCAAAAATTCTAAGAGGTTCAAATCTGCCATTTAATGACCCTGGACCCTGGACAAAACTTTGCTATAAGGAGTAAATGAAATAGTTAAAGCATTTATTATAGCACCTCTTAACACAGAAAACTCTCGGTAGATGGTAGCTATTACCATTTTCGTCTCTCCAGCACTTCAAAGCAAAGGTGGTAACAACTAGGTAGTACTGACTAGGGTTCTTCAAGATCAAGTCTCATCTAACTAACCTCATTTTTCTGGCAAGGTGGAGTATGTGGAGAGAGAAGGTATTGCTAGGCCATGTAAATCAGGAAGGTGTCTTCATTTTGAAATGGCATTAAATAAAATCTCTTATACTATTCTTATGAAAAGACTGGATTTTAGGAGAGTTAGGTGACTGAATAACCATATTCACAGAACTGCTTCATGAACTTGACCTCTCCATGCTTGTTTCCTTATCTGTAGAAGGGGTACTACTTACTTGGTTGTTATACAAATTAAAGCCCTTAGAACAGTGCCTGGCATTTAGTCACCATTATATAAATGTTTGTTAAATGAACTCGAACAGAAGTTTCTAGTGGCATGCTTGCACAGCACTTGGCTCCAACCTCTTCAACATTTCTATCAGAAACTTGTTAAATTTTTCTGTTGTGCTGGTCAAATTCTCAGATGGTATAAATGTTGGATGATTAAATCAAAATCCAAAAAGACATTGACAGGCTAGGGCTATGAAATGAAATATATGAGAAAAAATTAGGGAAAAAAGTGTTTTATAAGTACTAGCCTGGCTTGCCAGAACTCTCTGTGGACAAGAAAGGGAAATTTGGTTGACTCCAAGTTCAGCATATGTAAAACAGTGTGTCTGGCAATTAACGCAGTGGTTAAGAATCCGTCTTGCAATGCAGGGGACGCCGGTTCGACCCCTGGTCGGGGAACTAAGATCCCACATGCCGTGGGGCAACTAAGCCCATGCGCCACAACTATTGAGCTCGCGTGCCGCAAACTACAGAGCTCGCGCACCACAACTAGAGAGGAGCCCACGCATTGCAATGAAAGATCCCGTGTACCACAACTACGACCTGACGCAGCCAGATAAATAAATAAATAAAAATAAATAAAGAAATTAATTTAGAAAAAGAGAGAGAGAACTGCAGTGCTCTGACTGTCTGGACATAGATGCCAAGATGGTGGGCACAACTTGCCCATCATAAACTTTTCTCTCCCCTGCCCCTCCTTAGGTTCCTCCTCAGTAGTGGCTCCGGGTATAAGGATGGGCTTCAGAACACAGATAAACAGGAAATATGAGGTAGTAATGAACCATATTTCGAACTCATCTGGGTAGCAGGAAACATCCTCAGGTGGGAATAGGAAGATAGCCTCAAGGTTTGTGAAGAAATATAGTTAGAAGTTTATCAGGGCACCTAATGGCTCACTGTGCTACAAGCTAAAGTAAATTCCCCTCTAATCATGATTACCACAGGACTTATCTAATCTATTTCCTATACGAAATCAAACTACTCCCAGGCATTTTATCAAGCTTATTCCTTGTAATAATCCCTATCCCTGACAAAAGAAGATTTTGTCATCCCACAGTACAGATAAAAAATTGAGGCAAAGAAGTAAAGTGAATTGCCCTGGGTCACACAGGACTAGAATTACAATTTAGTATCTAATCTTAGAGTGCACTACATGAGTTTTGGAAGGGAGCATATTGGAATCATATTATGTCCTTCAAGAAAAGCCCTATTTACCTTAATCTCTGCGAGAAAGAAGATTAATTGCATTTTCCTTGGTGCATGCCAAAGATATTGAGTAGACGCTTTAAATTCCACATGTTTATTCTAATCCTTTCCCAAACACTTGTAAAGCCTTGCTTTGACCATTAGAAAGATGCTGTAAATTAACTTAAAAAAATAAGCCAAATATTTGTTTGCTAGAATCTCTAAGGAAAGCAATTAATCAAGAATAGGACAACCACGCTATTTCAGGTCACCTAGGAAAAGAAACTATCCAAATAGATATAAATCCAGATGGCCAGCTCCTTCTGTGCCACCAGCCCCACAATCCATTCCCAGGCCAACCTCATTGTCTAGGGACTGGATAGATGAAGGTTGAGGGAAAGCATGTGTTTAATTTTGAAAGTTCCATGCAAACATCAGTTATTGTTAAAATAATTTATGTATTTCACCCAATTATTGAACAAATCTTTGTTCATTATAAAAACCTAGAAAAACAAGTTAGGCAAATCAAAATGAGCACCCACTATGCTATCAGCCAGTAAGAACCTTTTGTACCTATTTACAAATTGGGTATTTTCTGCAACTCATTTCTCTGATCAGGCCATGAGAAAATCAGCCAAAAGCTGTAACCTTAAGGTTCTGCGTGTAGTTTCTCTTTAATTAAGGAGGGAAAATGGTGACTCATCCATTGACATCTATCTTTTCTTTTATTGGCACTTGTCCCAGAAGAGATAAGGCCACTACACAATATACCTGGCAGTAAAAAAAAGAGATAAATTCCTAATTCCATCTTACTGGTCTGAAAAATTTACACCACAATTCTAGGATTGAGTCATTTACCCAAACCAGCAAATATCACAGCCAAAATGGATTGAGTGTCTATCTCTCTCTCTTTTTTGTTAAGTGTGTATCTCTTTATCTATACACACACATAGTCACATATACTGAAGGCCATGATTTTAAATATATCTTGGCTGGATTCTTCCTGTCTCTTGGAGAAAAGGAACATACACATTCAGAACCCACACAAGGGCTGGTCAAGAATACATCGATAATCAGAAAAAGGTGAGTACAGTAGACTCTTTCCAAATAGTGAGCAGTGCTACCAGGAGAGCACCAAATTTCAATTCATTTCTTTTTTCCATCATAAGGAAAAATCATGCCATTACCTTTTTGTTCACAGCCACACCATCCTCACAGTCGAGTACTGCACAATCCACATTCAGAGAGGGAATCTTCTTAATTTTCTTTTCATCATTTCCAGGAACATAGAGCACGGCCCTTCGCGGAATGTATTTGTGGTTGGGTGAGGAACTGTACCCAAGCCTGGACACATCAGCTGCCAGAGATGCTTTCCTGCAGAAGACATAATTAGAACTAGTCAAGAATAGAATTCATTTACAAATTTTTGAAAAATCTTATTTTAATACAAAATTAAACTAGAAAACATGGATACTTTTTTTTAACTTATGGCAGAACATAATCACACATAACAACTAGGAAAACAATAATAACAGAAATAAGCAACAGAATGTCATTTTGGCTGAGGTTTAAAAAATATATAATACTGTTCACTGACACAATCTTCTGAGAAAAGAAGGAAGGTGTAGCTATCTCTTCTTGGAAAAACACTTCCAGCATTAGTATGCTGTCCAGATAGCATCCATGGAGAAAAAAGTAATGAAATTTACATCTAAAAGGTCCTAAAGAACAATACTATCTACAATTATATGAAAGTAAAAAGTAGAAAATGAACAATCTATGTAAACAAAGTCTATGGCTCTCTCCCTGACAATAAATCTTTTTAAGTAGACAAATAAGTGATTCAAGTTCAATTTTAACAACAGACAAGGATGGCTGGCTACTTCTTAAGTCAGCAAAGACCATTATTAGCTCTGTAATTATGGGCAACTTGATTGCTGGAAACTTCAGATTCTTCATCTGTAAAAATAATCCTCATGTTGCAGGCTGCTGAGAAAATTAAGTTAAAGGAAATAATGCACATGAAGCGATCAGCCGGAGCCTGGGGGTTATCAGCTTGATGTGGTAGGTGGGTGTAGCAGGAATGGCAGCCACTACAGCTGTTCTTAATGGAGAAACTCTAGCTGTCAGTAGCCCTGCCTGCTCGTAAACTCTGCTCTCTCCCCGCTTCTCCTATTGTACTAAGTTTAGCCTCCTGTGGAAATAAGAGGAGTTGGCCAGAAGCTCCCTTGGCTCACCGCAGCCCTCTCCTCTAACCTGGTCCATAGTTTGGTCCCGTGAAAACCATGTTTTAGCCCATAACACATGGCAAAGGAAGATGAAATCAGCTTTCACAATCAACACCAGTTACATAATTTGAATCACCTGTGCAAAATAAAAGTGCAGAGCCCTTGTTCAAAATTTATTGGGAATTTCAAGATGGCAACAGAAAAACATCACACAAAGCACCAGACCCTTCTAAGCACAGGGCCATCCGTGACTGTGCAGGTCACACATCCATGAAACCAGCCCTGCCCACAACAGATGGAGCTATACGTCATGAAAATCCCAGTTAAAGAAAGGTGAAAGCCCCAGCAAACTTGATAACACCCTACTGTTTTACTCCCCCAGGGTAAACAGCACCATCCTTTCAAAACTATGCCAGCTGTATTCTTAATGAAAGCTCTTGACATTTAGTAGTTATCCTACTAGTAGTTAATGCCATCAAATATTCTACACAGTTGTTAACATTTTGCCATGATTAGTGTGTCTTGTGACAATGTATCTCAAGAAAAAATCAGCGTCTTTTTGGTGGCCTATCAATTTTGTTAAGGGCCCCCTCATTCTTTCTTGAAGCTAACCTTAATTAAATCTAAAACGTGAGTCGAAGTCTTATTTTTCCATAACATAAGCGTTGTGCTATGTGAGATATGGTGACATATAGGTGGGTTTTAAAAGTGTACATATATTACAAGACATTTATCTAATATTGATATTAAATATAGTATGGACAGATAATTGAAGAATTCCCAAAGTATCTGTCATCGTTTTATACTGATTAAAAATATCTGATTTATCTTAAAAAAGAGAAAATATAATGATGTAATAGCAACAACCACATTTTACTTATTCGTACTGGAAACCAGAATTTGCAACATATGCATTTCCTTTAAAATCGTAAAAATGCAATTAAAAGAGATGAAATTTTTATTTACCAAGAAATGCTTAAGGCAAAATCACTCCTCATGAGGATTTGTTGTAACCGCACATGTAAAAGCCAAAGAGACCTTCATTTCATGAAAACTGAGATTTCCTCCATGCGAAATAGCTTCTGACTGCCAATTTGGATCCAGCCACTGTGATCTCCAAGCCACACCACCTGAATCTCAAAGCCTGAGCCACTCAGACATGGCTGACAGGTCATACCACTGTCACATGCTAAGCACTAGAGCAAATCATTCCTAGGATGTTTATATATGATGTATAATTTTCTAAAACAGATGATCATTTAAAAAATCTTCTGCCACTCGTAAAGATGTTTCTGGCTTCCCAGACAAAGTCTCCTATAATCATTGAAACATTATTTTCCTCTTATAATCCCCTGCTCAAAAATTGTCAACAGCTCCCCATTATCTACAGGATAGGTAGATATCTACCTACATTGAATGTAGGTAATGTAGTCTCAGCTGAGAGCCCTTTTCGCAATTTATATCCCACTATTCCCATGTTGCAACTATCTACCCTCGGAAAATTAGATTATGACTGTCCACATATGCTGTATTGCTTCCATTGTACCTTTGCTTCTGCTCGAAAAGTATTTCCCCTAGGTTTATTTGAAACTTACAGATCTTTCTAGCTTCAAGGTTTATTTGAAACTTACAGATCTTTCTAGCTTAGTTCAATGTCCACCTAACTGCGGAGTCTTTTTTGACCATTCATCTTTAGACTCTCTCATCTTTAAAAACAGCATTTATCACCGGTAACCAAACCAGAACCAGCAAAGGACTGGCTCTGCCATCATGGCTAAAGTTAATCAAGGGGCACATGCATTCTGGAAAGCCAATGGATGCTACAAATCAAGACACTTAAAAAAGTTTCCTGCTTTTTGACCCAGTAATTTCAAGTAATTTGACCCCATTCCTTTTGGGAATTGCTATAGATTAAATGTGTCCTCCCCAAAATTCATATGTTGAAACATAATCCCCAATATGATGGTATTTGGAGGTGGGGCATCTGGGAGGTGACTAAGTCACGAGGGCAGAAGCTAGGAGAATAATGCCCTTATAAAAGAGACACCAGAGGGCTTCCCTGGTGGAGCAGTGGTTGGGATTCCCTGGTGGAGCAGTGGTTGGGAGTCCTCCTGCCAATGCAGGGGACGCGGGTTCGTGCCCCAGTCCGGGAAGATCCCACATGCTGCGGAGTGGCTGGGGCCGTGAGCCATGGCCGCTGAGCCTGCGCTCCGCAACGGGAGAGGCTGCAACAGTGAGAGGCCCGCGTACCGCAAAAAAAAATTTAAAAAAAGAGACACCAGAGAGCTCCCTAGCCCCTTCTGCCATGGGAGGACTCAGTGAAAAGGCTGACATTTATGAACTAGGAAGTACATTATTATCAGACACTGAATCTTCCAGAGCATTGATCTTGGACTCCCCAGCCTCCAGAACTGTGAGAAATAAATTTCTGTTGTTTATAAGCCACCCAGTCTATGCTATTCTGTTACAGCAGCAGCCCAAATGGATTAAGACGGGAATCTATCTTAAGAAAATGAACAGGAATAAAACTACATATATATAATATTAAGAACTGAAAACAACCTTTAGGTCCAACAGTAGGATAAATTACAGTACCTACATTCAATGGAATATTATGCCATCATTAAAAATTGTGTTTATAAAAATATTTAATGTGAAGTGAAGATTGTTATTTTTAAACAGAGGATATAACATTACATACGCAATAACATCTCAACTTTATAAAAAATACAAAGAAAAATATCTGGAAGGAAATACATCAAAATGTGATTAGGGATGCCTCTGAATTTTAGAATTTGGGATTAAGACTTTTCTGCTTCCAGGGACTTCCCTGGTGCAGCAGTGGTTAAGAATCTGCCTGCCAACGCAGGGGACACAGGCTCGAGCCCTGGTCTGGGAAGATCCCACATGCTGCGGAGCAACTAAGCCCACGCATCACAACTACTGAGACTGCGCTCTAGAGCCCACAAGCCACAACCACTGAAGCCCATGTGCCTAGAGCCTGTGCTCTGCAACAAGAGAAGCTACCGCATTGAGAAGCCCGTGCACAGCAACAAAGACCCAACGCAGCCAAAAATAAATAAATAAAAGATTTTTCTGCTTCTGCACAGTTTTTTCCTATTTTGCACATTTACCAGAAGAAGCATCACTCTTTTTTTAAAAAATCCTTTTATAATAGGCTTAAAACAAACCAATATAATCACTTGAAAGGTCTCAAGTGGCAGCATAATATGGTGGAGAGAATAAGAACCACCTATATGAAATTGCTGATATCTAACCATTTTGGCCTACAAAAATGCTAATTTTATGTGGTTCACGCCAATATTGTGACTGGCAGTCAGAAGATGGGGTGAGAAGCAAGCAAGAAATGTCAACTTCCTCTTAGGTGAGAAGCAACATAATAGCTGTCTCATACAGGGGAGAGCTCACCACAGGCAGTAAAGCAGTATGTACGTCCATAGCTACTATGATCATCTGACACCTGTCACCCACATGTGATGCTGGTCCGTGTAGACCAGCATCAGGAATCTTGTTGGACACAAGTGCCCTCAACTAGATCACAAGCTAGCCGAGGGAGGGGAAGTCTTACGTCTCCCCCACGTTGCTTACCACAGGGTCTTGCAGACAAGAGCACAGAATTCCTGTTACCTCGTTACCCAACCAACGCCAGCTGTCCAGAAGTGGGTATGTAAGACTGATCTGCAACCACACTGTCCTTATTCTTCTTGGGCAAGAGTCAAGTTTTAGTGGTGATTACAGGTAGGAGGTCATTTTTATTCCCTCTCTCCTTTGCCATCCTGGAAGCTTTAACCCAACCCATGGCCTGTTGCTTCTCCTTTGTTTATCTCCTCCTTCCTGTAAATACAGATGACGTCCTAGTTTGGGGCCTCGTTCCCCTTTACCGAGATGACTGTGGAAACCTCTTATTTATCCTCACTGCCTCCACTTTGTTCTCTCGTTCATACATTCAGTGAGTACTTAGGAAGCATGCACTGGGTGACCTGCGCAGGGTCTCCACTAGCACACCTGGCAGGTCCCTTTGTGTAAATTAGAAAAAGGTGTCCCCTCGAGCCTGCCAGCAGGTGGAAGGGCAAAGAGGTGCCGCCTGCTTCTGAGGCGGCAACTTTGATGCATAGAGGAGAGCTG